GGGAAAGGTGGTATGTAATGAGAGGTAAGATGTCCTTTTCACTTAGAAGAATCCTGCTGAGGAAACTGGTTAGATTACTTAGCTATAACTATTGCTGCAGAATTAATTTGATAAACATGTAAAATTCAGTTTAGGTGAAAACAAAGATCTGTGGCTTCTCAAAGCAAGACAAGTTCAGTATCTCAGGAAACAGCAGCTTTAATTGCTAATGTAACACTGGAATTTAGTTGGTATGATTATATATTCTATATTTCAAATATTGGTCAAATAAGATACCTAAAGTTGGGTGTCAAGATCACACTTGGTCATTGCAGTGTTGAGGGCAAATGTGGAGGCATTGTGGAGATAAAAAATACTATAAACTGCAAATATTTCTATTTTGTTTCAGTGATGGTACCATAATTGTTTTGAAGGGCACAAGAGAAATGGTGCCTTTCTGTATCTGTGGTGAATTCCAGCTACAGAGCTTTTAGCACTTTTCACTGCTTAAATTCTTCCTCCTCTGTGCATAGGCTTCCAACACAAGAAGACAACAGTTTTGTAGAGACAGAATATATTTTGGGATCAGCATGAATGTGTACAAACCCTGATTTTATTCTTTAATACGAAGTGCCATTGACACACTTCTGAAATGCTTTATGGATATTGTCATTTTAAAGGTTATTTTCCTGTCTGTATACAGAATGCTGACATTACAGTTCAGGGCTGAAATGCTCTGGTGCTACTAGAATCATATATTTATAATAATTTCTGAAAAGTCATGTCTTAAAAACTGATTGTTTGGATATTACAGTATGGGGAAATTGAAAGACAAACCTTGATCCTCTTTCAAAATGCTGTAGTTCCAGAACTACTTTGAATTAGCCTGTTTAGTCATGTGGGAAAACATAAGATACAAACCCTGGAGTTATTTCAGGTACCTAAGAGAAGATACAGTAATAAAACGTGAGATGATCTTTAAAGGCAGAACAAATCAAACCAAGGGTTAAGCAGCATGGAAAAACGGGTGCTAATACACCTGGAGAGAAACTACTGAGGGGAGTCTTGTTAAAAACCACAGGTAATAAGCATGAGAGCTGAGTGCTGTTCTTTTGGTGCCACAATTTGTCTCTCAGTTCAACTAAGTGGATGCTTGTATATGTTAGGCAGTGAAAACTGTGTAAAAATACTTCAATATCGATAGGTGGGAAAATGCTTAAAAGTACAAAGCATATGTATTAATACAAATTTATGTTAAACTGAGACTTTTAGAAGTGAAATGTAGCCTTGGAATTTACTACAACAACAAAACCAAAACAAAGCATTAAGATACAATTGTGTTTTATTTCATGCCAGCAGGGGAGTGCTTCTGTTTTTAGGATGGTACTTGTGAGGCCTTAACTTAAGAGCATTTTGAACGGTAGGGGAGGTCAACAAATTTTGAGGTAGCTCAAGTAAGAGCAGCAAAACATAATAGAGGGAGGTAGTCTAGGGAAAAAAAAAACCGCACTTCAGCTTTTTTGTATTTATTTTTATAGATACATACA